TCCCCCTCCCTCAGTGGGATGGGGGAGAGAATCAGGAAGGAAAAAAAAGTTAGAGCTGTGGGCTGAGATAAAGACAGTTTAATAAGAGAAAATAATAATAATAGTAATAATGAGAATGGTAAGAGAATATACAGAATATACAAAATGAATGATGCACAATGCAATTGCTCACCACCCGCTGACCGATGCCCAGCCCGTCCCGAGCCGCGATCAGTCCCTAAGCCGCGATCACTCTCCCCGCAACCGACCGACCAACTAACCCTCCTGAGCATGACGTGATATGGTATGGAATAGCTCGTTGGTCAGTTTGGGTTAGCTGTCCAAGCTGTGTTCCCTCCCAGCTTGTTATGCACCTGGCTGAGCCAGGAGAAGCTCAAAAAGTCCTTGAGTAGTCTGAGCACTACTTGGCAACAACTAAAACATGCGTTATCAACATTCTTGTAGTACTAAATCCAAAACACAGCACTATGCTAGCTACTATGAAGAAAATTAACTCTATCCCAACCAAAACCAGGACAGTTCAGTGTCCCCAGATTTCTTCAATTGCGGTGGTGGATTTTTATGAGAAAAGACTGCTTTTTTTTGTAAAAAGCAATTCAAGTTTTGAAACATTGGATCATTGAGCCTCTTGCATACTTGTTTGGGTTTCTTGCAATTGAAGCCAATTACAATTTAATTCTCCTGGTGCTGCCGCTTGAATTATGTTGTCCTTTGATCTTCAGTCTCATGGTGAGCACAGCCTTTTTGAGCCCATCAGGAAGCAGTGGTGCCCAGAGTCTCAGAAAGCTATGGTGAGAATGCATGTGAATGGATTCTGTTGAAACAAACACACAATGATGCTGTGGTGACCCTACTAAAAAAGAAAATGTAATGTTGACTTCCAGTTTTTCCCTATTCCCTTGTATTCCTGCTTGTAATTCTAAGCCATTAGAAGTATTTTTAAAGGACTAAGTACAAGTCCAATCCAGTCCTATCCAAATATGCACTACTCTGCTGTGTATAGTGACATATTTTGAACAAAAGGAGTGCAACAAGAGGACCTGATAGCGGTCTGATTTGTCAGAGGAGCCCCAATCAGTCACTTTTTGTTCTAAATAAAGGGAAGGCAGTGGAGTTACCAGCAGAACATAGGCAATGTTTGGCTAGGAAAGGGTGTTGTATTTAGAAATAAACAGGGTTTAGCTCATTTTAAACATGTTAATTGAAACATCCAGAGTTAACAAGATAACATTTTTCTACAGTGTTCCTAAAGCAGTTTTTCAAAACATATTTAACTTTTCTATGTAGGGGAAAAAAAGAATTCAAGGAAGCGTGAAACTCCTTTGATCTAAGCCTTTGTAGTGTTGGCTATAATGATAAACCCTACAAAACTTGCTTGTAGAGCTCTGTATATGCCTTCCATAAAAAAAAAAAAAAACAAAACAGATTTAAAATAGATTTTTTTTTTTTTTTTTCCCTGTGGACAAGCAAATCACATTCATCTTGTTATTTTAAAAGAGCATTATCTGTGGTAATTAAAGCCACAGACTGGAGAGAGATGTTCTGATTGAACTTTACTGCAAGGCCACTGGTGGAAAGCATGCATTCTAAGTACTCGTATAGAGCTTTTGTGGGTGTAAACTAGGAACTGGCGAGATCTGAACCTCAGAGATGACCTAATGGCTGTAATTTTTAGAAAGCTCTCGACACTACTGAAAATCAGATCTCATTTCGGTGCTTAACCTCTTCAAGGTGTTTAAAGCTTTTCACGTTTTCAACTTCATACGTAGAAGCTCACAGCATTAGGACTACCAAGAGAGTTGTTAGTCGAATGAATGACTATATATTTGACTATGTTTGCTATGGTACACTTATATGCAGTTTTGCTAATACCATCTTCATTTGAAGGGCATTTTGGGAAATATTTTGAAGGACAGAACAGTTCTTTTAGCATCAAGTGCAGCAAAACAAAGAATGGGTAAGACCAGAGTGTAGAGAAGCAGCGTTTGTCGTGCACTAGTTTGGCAAACCAAATTTTGACCCCTAACTTACTGGAATGACTGACATGCTATCCATATGCCCAAGTTCTACTGCTAATGAAACTCTAAAAGAAAAAAAATCAGTAAGTGTTCACAGATTTTTTTTTGTTTAAATTTCTAAACTGTTTGAATCCTGCTCAAAGCTCTAAAAAATTGCTATATGATCTAAGTACAGATATTCTTTGGAGCAGAATTGTGTGATTTACAAGTTAGACTACAATGGACCTGCAGCATGCAGAATCCCATGCAAATGATTAATCATTTCAGCCATCCCTTAATAGTTTTTGCACACTAAGCAAGTAAAAAACTTTTATCATTAATATACGCATATACATTAATTCTGTAGGACTGTTTATTTTAGCATCTGTTTGCACCTTGGGAGCTGTTCCTTTGACTTTATTGTGATAAAGGCCTAGAAAAATAACCATTAAATTGTACTTTTAGGAAAATAGAAGATTTCCATGAACTTGGTTTTAAAAATACTTACCTCACCTCATAATGTGTGGTTGTTTGGGATTGGTAAGTTCTAGCAGATCTTTATTCCTTCTTGAATACATACTTTTCAATATTTTTTTTTTTTCTTCTTATATATTTTATGTGTAGCCAGTCTGGACCAATTGTAGGGAGGAGGACTTTGGTGTTCACTGCTGGAATATAGCAAGCATCTCTGTAAATCTTCCTCATACTTGCATTTATCTGGCTCCCAGTTACAAGTGTAGTTCAGTATCTTTTACAGTAAGGCGAAGTCACAGAGATCGGGTACCCAGTGTGTGAGCTCAGCCTGAGCTCCAGGATGGAGGTGCCATTGCTCCACCTCCAGCAGTTTATCTGATCACTGGTACTCATGATTACTCCTGTGTATTCTTGCCTAGGGAAACTGTGCATACATGAGCATGTGGGAAAGCACCTATGGAAATGAATACCTTTGTTAAAGTTCTTTATTCCCCTTCCCAATAGCAATCTTACAAAAGATTTTAAGATGCATTTCTAAGGGTACTGCTGTCCTCTTTTGTGCACAGATCTGACCCTTCCTTTGTAGAATTGCTCTGCAGACAAGAAAGGGTGCTGCTGCACGCAGTTACATCCCTGTGTATTTCCCAGAGTCTGACATAAGACCTGTCATTTCTCTCCTCTCTTACTCTCAGCTCAGATGTTAGACTGGATGGGTTAAGGAGGCTTTGAGTCAGAACAGGGAGATTAATTTTAGGCTCTGCTAAACCACAGCATTGGACTCTAACGTGCTCGAAACAGCACTGCAAGGGCACTGGGGGGCATGATGACCCAGCGATGGGTGGGCAGAGCTCATGGAAATGGCACCCAGTTTGGGGGCTTTGGGCGTCAACTTGTGCCTCACAGAGCATCTCTGCCTGTGTCCAGCAGTGCTACTGGGGCGAGTGTCCTGAAAGCTTTCTCACAGCTTTTCCTCTAGTGGAGGGCTTGGGTTGGTTGCTGGATTCCTGAAATCTGTGGGAATGATGAATGCTCTAATTAGGAGAGAGAGTTATTAAGTCGAGAGGAATAAATCCCACGTTAGCAAAACTTCTCTTAAATTTATACAGCTTTTTGAATTTACTGCCTCTTTGGTTAACTAGAAGCAGCGGTTTCAAGTACAGCTGAAAACATCTCTCGTCAATGAGAGCCAATAGTCACTGCAGCGGTAAGGTAACAACAGAAGGATTTTGGTGATGGCTGGGGTCCTTTGGCTGCATAACACAGTGACAAATGCTGGATGCTGCCTGTGGCACTGGAGTGAGGATCGTGCTGTAGGGGCATCGGCTGTTCCCCCTGGGTTAGCTGCCATGACAACTGCGCTGCTGGGGAAAGCCCTGTGTGGGTGTTCTTGCAGAGAGCTGAGGGTCATTGATATTCTGAGTGTTTCTCAGGATACTGCAGGCAGTAGAGACCCCTTCCTGTGGTTCTGCCAACGTTTACTATTATCACAGTGGGTAAAAGACACAAATGCTGTTGACGGGTATCTGGGAAGGAAAAGAAGCTAGTTTCCCTAAAAGCAGATTTTTGGTTTACCTCTTTAATTACATGGTTTTACCCAATCATTCTGACTTTCTTAGCTTCTACATAGCTTTTATTCCCAGATCCCATACAGGTGTGCAATGTTAAAAAGAATAGGAAAACAATTATACAGTAAAATTTTAATCTGTTTACATTTAAAAAATAGCTTGCTACCTGCAAATGCTTTTTTTTCTTACCAGGGAGTTAGAAAGAGTTCAGTGGGATTTCTTGTGGCATTTTTTATTTTAATGGTTTTTAAAGCAGTCGCTTGCTCCTTCACAAGCTGACTTCTATTGACTTGAGGAATGAGATTTTTTCAAGGTCTTTAGTTTTGTGTTTTTAAAGAACATCTAAAACATTTTTCTTTCTGATATTCCCATCCTTCTTGAAATACATTGTAGCATCATTACTGGGACAGTTAAGAACAGACAGAGCTGAAAAGGGCATGGGAGGACTATTTCTTGTTTTCTTGAATATGGAATACCTTTTAATAAAAGGGGGAATTATGTTGTTTTTTTTTAACAGGACATTAAAACATGGAAATTAAATGTCTCTGAGCATAAAAAATGAATTTGTAGATGCAGTCATTTTAACTTGACAGATTTCCCCATGAGTAATTAATGTAAGCATACAAGAAGCTTTGATATTTGAGTAGTGTTTATAGCTGGTCTTGTCAAAGACATCAGCATGCATGTGTAATTACAGGCAAAAATACAGGTGTTAAATGTAAGAGAAGGTTGTTTTGGAGGTGAGAGGCAGTCATATTTTACATTCTTGACCCTGAGGCTTCTTGCACTACTGGCAGAGCCAAAGTACTTGAGAACTGGAGTGTTTCTGTCATTGTAAAAGAACACTATGGTATCACTGTGAAAAGGAAAGCACAAACTTATTAACTGTTGCTGACTAACTGAAGATTCAGTATTTGAAAGTACTGCATTTTTTTTATTTTGCTTTGTATATTTTGCTGTCAAGGTGACATGCTTGCAGGACTTCTTTGGAGATGATGATGTCTTCATTGCATGTGGGCCTGAGAAGTACCGATATGCTCAGGATGACTTCGTGTTGGATCACAGCGGTAAGACTGTACCTCCTAAACCCACTGAAATAGTCAACTTCATTGAGAACTCTTCCCCTCTCCCCTTCCCTGCCCCATTCAATCCTCAAGGGTCGTGTGATTTAGGAAAATATACATGGGGATTTATTTTCCTATGGATTAAAAAGTTTTTCCAAACCATCATCTGGATTCTGTAAGTCTGTTAAAAATGCACTAACAAACCTGATCTGTGTTCTTGGAAAACAGACCCTGTCCCTAAAGTTACATGGGAAACAGCACTGAATTTTAAAAGGTTCAGTTGTGGATCTAATGACATTTTTTAAAAATCTCATATGTAACCATGCTCATTTCAGGTCTTGAATTGCCCTGCTAGGCAATTCACACATTCCAGTCTTGTCTGCTATAAACCAAGTGTTGAGCCTGTTTATATCATGAGGTTACAGGGGGTGTTGGGTGGAGAAGGAGGTGAGACAAACTGGGACTTTGTGCCCATGCTGTCTGCCATTGACAGATCACAAATTTAACTTGTTTACGAAAGTTGTTTTTCTGTAAAGAGAACATTTATAATGTAAGTTCAAGGAAGAAGCTCTCTTCTCTACCAGGGAGGTTTAGAAATGGCTTAGAATATCGAATAATGTGTATGTGGGGTTTTTTTTCAGTGTTCATAGAATTATTCAATAGTTTGGGTTGGAAGTGACCGTTAAAGGTCATCTAGTCCAACCCCCTGCAATGGGCAGGGACATCTTCAGCTAGATCAGGTTGCTCAGAGCCCCGTCCAGCCTGATCTTAAATATTTCCCAGGAGGGGGCATCTGCCACCTCTCCGGGCAACCTGTTCCAGTGTTTCACCACCCTCATCATAAAAAAATTTGTCCTTATATGTAGTCTGAATCTACCCTTTTTTAGTTTAAAACCACTACCCTTTGTCCTATCTTAACAGGTGTTTTTTCTGTCTCTATATAAATCAATCTGTGGTAAAGAAAATTTGCCCTGGCAATAATCACCAGATTATGTGAGAGCTTCAGGTCATGAAAGGGGGTGTGAGTGTGTGTCTGTGGTTGCCTCGCTCTCAGGTAACTGAAAGCAAAAGCACCTGCTGTTTTTCTAATTTTTACAAATCTCATTAATTTCATTACAAAATCTTCAGTTACATCAAGTACAGGTATATATCTAACCACTGGTCCATACATTTGGATGGATGGAGGATTCAGCTGGCTCCCATTCTGTTGTTACTGCCAGCATGCTACTTTTCCAGAACTGTCTGATTATGTTGATTCAGCTAGTGTGAAGGTGACAAGAAGGGTATTTTTTAACATTGCTTTAGACTAGCTAAGATATGATTTTATTATGCAGGAATGGAAGAGCATGGTTGTATTAACTCACACTGCAAATCCTAGTCTGGGCAAAATCATCATTTCCCTTGCAGATTTTAAGGCCGTAAGTTTGCTTTTCCCATTACACCATGCACAGACTAATTGGGCTCATTTCCTTTCTGAGAACCCAGTGATGGAGGGGGTTTCTTCTCCCTTTATCTCTTCAGCTTTGGTGGTCCCTGTGTCCTCTAATAACTCTGGAGGTCTTAATGGAGAAAACCAGGTTAGGTAGAGAGTGGAACATGACTTGACTGGCAGGGCATGCAGCTCTACATAGTATTTTTAATGGCAACATGGCATCGTAGTGATGGCATTGACATTATAGTGATGGGGACAAAATTAGGGGGGAAATGTATATGATTCCATTGGGAATGATTTGCAGTGGATGCTAACTGTAGGAATTTAAACGTTTCCAAATGTTTCCAAAATGTCAATGTATGTATGCCTATTGATTCCTTTCCCACTTAGGTTGTCCTTTATTTAGTGATATATAGCTGATGGTAAATGGCAGTAGTCTATTGTCTTTTGGAAACAAGAGACACTTTTCTCCTCTTTAAAAATTGGTCAGGACATCAGTTTCTTGCCAATGAAAGTAAACGGGGCTTGCTGTGCAGTTGGTCCGTATGAAGCTGCTGTTACAGCATGCAGAATTTTTATCAGAACTTATCAGAAGAGCCTTGGCACTAGCTGACTTCTTTACTCTTTCAGCTGTGTGCAGGTGCAAACTTGAATTATAGTAATAATCCAGCTTCAAAACATGAAGAAATATTACACACAGAATGTTACATAAAGCATTTGAGTAGCTCAAATATGTTTGTGTGGTGTGTAGGTTGAAGTTCTGAGCTGCTTTTATAAATCTGTTTCATTCAGGTGGTCAAGCATGTTTAGAAAATACTGATATTCATTTTCTGGATAGTAAATAGCAACAGTAGTGTTTGGAGGAAGCCTGTACATTGAACTGTTGTCAAAAGTCTATCTGCTTGCTTTGTAGAATGCCGTGTCATGAAGTCATCTTATTCACGATCATCTGGCATAAGGCATACTGGGTCCAAAAGTCCAGGACCTTCGCGCCGAAGCAAATCACCTGCCTCAGGTACTACTTCTAGGAAAGAGAAAACCATGTAAAATATGTGAAATTTAGAATTTGTTTAATGGGGTGAAAAAACCGTTGGCTCTGTCTGAAATAGAAGTGCCATGCCTTCTTTCCTGAGGGGAAAAAATGTTTTTTCAGTTTGTCTCATAAATTTAATACTAATTTAATATAAAATTTGCATTTATTTTTGAATCCTGAGAAGAAATGTGGTTTCTATTTTTTAATTAACAGGCACAAAAAGTTTTAGTTTATGAGCATTGGAATAATTTGTGCTAATTGTACACTTGGGATAGCACTTGATTTTCTTGAAGACTTAACTACAGGGTTGTTACGTGGTTAAATTCATGTTCATTGAAGTAGAGTATACCCTTCCTTAAGTGTTTTGAATTTGAAAGCTTTCTCCTATATAAGCTCAATGTTGTCAGAAATACTGGATTTTGCTGTTTCAAGTAATTTTAGGAGATGTTCTGGAATATTATAGCCCATTAACAGAGAAGGTTTTTTTTCTTCTTATTGTGCTTCTTGTAATTTCAAAGAAACATTGTGTTCATTGTGGTTTTGCCAGCAGTTTGGCTGAACACCATACGTTCTAGCTATTGAGTCTTTCATGCAAATAAATAGAAGGGAGAAACTTCGTTTTTTTTCTTGTTTTTACCTCTGCATTTAATTTCTAAATACAATAAAACTCAATTAATTTTTCCCCCTCATACCTAGAGAAGTAGCCCTGAAATTAAACACTGAATATGTAAATACACGATGCTTTGCTTTGAATGTAACTATACATGTAAGCTCCTGTGCGTGTATTCAAGCTGCAACATGTTCTGTATTCTCATTTCCATATCAATATTTGTTTTGCTTAATTGATGCTGGTTTAAATAATTTTATGTCTTTGGGTTCTTTCAAAGTGGAATATTTATCATCTGTTTATAAAGGTTGAATATTTAACTGAAAAGCTTCAAAGAAGAATCGCAGTAACAACAGAGAAAAATGTAACATGAAGGGCAAGTTTCACAACTGATCTACATTTCATGCAATCCTGTTAACTCCAGTGAAATCGCATGGGATATCTATGAACAGTGAATTTTATGCAAAGTATTTAGAAATCAGTGCTGCTGTTTCTACTTGGACACCCGTTTGGTTAGGTTAATTTGAAAAATTTGTCCAAAGTGTCTGGCGTTTATCCTTCTATTTACTTGCTATTTTTTCTCATGTAGTCTTTACTTATCTTTATTTACCCTTCTTCCTTTCGTGCATGTTCAGAGCTGTTTAATAACTTCTTTCCTTAATGTCTTTTTCCTTTGTGTCAAATATATGAGTACAGTAAAGAGGGGTGGCCACTACTCCAGTGCTTATTCTTCAGCAAAATCCCCAGGTGAGCCATTACTATTATGGCTGTATATCACTAGTGTGTCTCCTCCCTCTCCATTTACCTGTATTCTTTTTGCTGTATTTGTGAATATGTTCAAGCTTGAAATGCACGTTTTGCATTCAGTGAACCAGAGACATAATGGGTGTAGGTTTTTTGTTGAACTGGATTGTTTGAGTGAAATAATATAAAAGATGCTGCATAGTTGTTGGACATCTGCTGTTGGTGTCGAAGTTAAGTTTGTAAAAGTATAATTTGACTACCAGTAGAGGAGCATTCTGAGGAGCAATACATTTGTATTTGTGTTCTAAAGCATATTATAATAGAAAATTTTAGCCAGCACAAAAAGACAGGGGTAAGAGTTGCTGAAAAAAGCAGTACAAACCCATGTGTCATAGTTTTTCATTTTATTTGCAGTTTCTTACCTTTCTTTGTTTTCTTGTGCTATTTCAGGCTAAGTTCTAGAACACCGAGAAACCTCTTTGAACCTTCAGTTCAAAGTGAAGGTATCTCTAAAACAAGTACCATACATTTTGACTAGCAAATATATTGAGACTTTGAGCCATGCTAGAAGTTAACAATTTAAAAGGTATTAGTAGGTTTTTCAGTTTTCAACATTCAAATATGCTAAAGAATTGTAGCCTCATAGGTACTACTTAAAGAATGACAGAGAAGAAAAATTTTTTTCTGTATATTCAGGCTGCTATACATGTTGAAAGAAACCTCAAAAGAACTTATACTTAGAAAATAGATAAGAAATGTAAGTTTTGCATATACATTAAATAATCAGGAAATCAATAGCAGTGGACACGTTTGTGCCAAAAATGAATGCAGATCACTTGTGTGCTTTTTGAGTTGAAAAAAAAAATAAAAAATACTGCTGTCTGAAACAGCAATGTTGGGGTTTAACCCCAGCTGGCAACTAAGCACCACATGGCTGCCCACTCACTTAACTCCCCAGTGGGATGGGGGAAGAGAATTGAAAGGGTAAAAGTGAGAAAACTCATGGGTTGAGATAAGAACAGTTTAAGAATTTAAATAAAATAATAATAATAATAACTTGTAAGGAAAAGGAAAATAACAGAGAGAGTACCTGGAGTACTGCGTCCAGTTCTGGAGCCCTCAGCACAAGAAGGACATGGAATTGTTGGAGCGGGTCCAGAGGAGGGCTACAAAAATGATCCAAGGGCTGGAGCACCTCTCCTATGAGGACAGGCTAAGAGAGTTGGGCTTGTTCAGCCTGGAGAAGAGAAGGCTGCGGGGAGACCTGATTGCGGCCTTTTAGTACCTAAAAGGGGCCTATAGGAAAGATGGGGAAAAGCCTTTCAGTAGGGCCAGCTGTGACAGGACAAGGGGTAATGGTTTTAAACTAAACCAGGGTAGGTTTAGACTAGACATAAGGAAGAAATTCTTTACCATGAGGGTGGTGAAACACTGGAATGGGTTGCCCAGAGAGGTAGTGGAGGCCCCATCCCTGGAAACATTCAAGGACAGGTTGGGTGGATGAGGCTCTGAGCAACCTGATCTAGGTAGCGGTGTCCCTGCTTACTGCAGGGGGGTTGGACTAGATGACCCCAACCTTCCCCCTAGTTTTATTGCTGAGCATGACGTCAGGTGGTATGGAATATCCCTCTGGTCAGTTGAGGTCAACTGTCCCAGCTGTGTCTCCTCCCAACTTTTTGTGTACCCTCAGCCTACTTGCTGGTGGGACAGTGTGAGGAGCAGAAAAGGCCTTGACTCTGTGTAAGCACTGCTCAGCAATAACAAAAACATCCCTGTATTATCAACACTGTTTCCAACAAAAATCTAAAACATAGCCCCGTACAAGCTACTATGAAGAAAATTAACTCTGTCCCAGCCCAAACCAGCACAAGTGGTTGGCTGACTCCCTATAGATGCACAATTTTTACATCTACACAGGGCCAATTCCAGCTTTTACTGTTGTTGCAGTTTTGCACCAACTCACATACAGTGGATCTCAGAAGACATTGGCAAAGCTATATCTTTTAGATAGGCTCCTTAGCAGAATGTACCATGTGTTGTAGAATCATAGAAGGACAAAAGTTGGAAGGGACCTCTGGACATCATCTAGTCACACCCCTGGCTCGGAACACCTCCCTTGTCCAACAAGCATATCTAAGATATTAGAAAAGAGCTAGAGTGCTGTCAGTGTAGGCTGGGATGTTTTTCATTAGATAGTTATGAGAGGGAAGAAGATTATGTTAACCAGCCAATTTCACAGGTACAGTTTAGTGGTTCTGTTGATGCTTAAAAGGATGGTAGTAACTTAGAGACAGATAAGGTTGTCTTATAGTAGAGGCCTCAATGGTCATGTTCAGGAAATAGTGACCTTTCTGTGAGCTGTGTAAAAAGAATTTGTGAATAATAAAAAAAAAAATTCCTCCTATAGTAATAGTTAGTCATTTGGAAGCAAATTCTTCTACTAAAGTATCTCATTTTTGGTCATGAACTTTACAGCTCAGTATTTTTTCTAATGGCTAGAGCAAATTGTGTATGCGAGAAGCAGAAAACAGTAAGATAGCATTCACTAGCCCTTTCCATCATCATACTTGCAAATTATTTGTAAAGTAAGGATGCATTGATATGCTAGGTTTCAAGGTTACCTAAAACAAAGTGATGAAAAGAAGTCTGCAGGAAGGATGTATACTCCTGAAATACTTTCAGGCTCTTAAAAAGACGCTTAAATAATTTGCCTATTGTTCTTACAGGCAACCTTTGTTAAAGTCAAGACAAAAATAACCTAAACATGCTGCATACATTTAGTAGAAAAGACTAAGTTCTTAGTCCTGTAATAGATCTGGGAATGTAAATCCAAGTTATCAGACTTCAAGATAGGCTTACTCTGTAGCTAGATGGTAATTAGTTATACCTTAACATCACAAATCAGAGAAGGAGATTTTTGTGAAAAACAGGGATTTGTGGAAGTTGCAGTGCAGTCAGCTTGGCCTACTGGCAGATGGGCTGCCCAGGTTGTAAAAATAGTACATGGAAGGCATCTTCAACGCTTGGAGAATGTTAGGGTACCATGTTAATAGACAATTGTAAAATAAATCCAGTAGCGCTGGTTAAGAAGTGATGCATAACCCATGACAGACCTCTGAATGCATAAAGGATACGTGCAGGTGTAACTGTTTCTTACTTTGAGGCTAAGTTTCTATTTGCCAGGGTTGCTTTTTTCTTTTTGAAAAAATAATTCTTCACCGTGAATCAGCTATGAAACCTTTTTATCTCTTAAAATTCTACCTAGCGTTTTCCTCTCCCAGGAAAAATGAGGTTCAACTAGAGAGGGAATAATGTTGCATCATATAATGTTGTATCATATTTGGGTGTAATGAACAGTGTGCTATTCTGTCCGCATAATGAAATTAATCTAAGTTATATTCAGGCCACCAGAGATATAACAGATCAGGGCTCTCTGGAAAACTGGACTTAAAATGAATGAACTCTTGAAGTCAAGAGGGAGGATATTGTATGTTTTCACAGACACTTAAACTTCTTGGAAGTTCAGAAATAACCTTCTAGCTTTTACCTTGTTGGTGGTTTTTTCCCTCTAAATCGGTATTTTTCTGAACTACTCCTCAAGTTCCTTATCATCTAAACAGCTCATACTTCTTGTTTGTTTGTTTTTCTTGGAAAAAAACATCTTGTGTTCTGTGAAACATTCTACCTAGAAAGTAAGGTTAAGGTGTTGATCCAAAAAGAAGAATGGAGGGTCAAATGTCTTTATGAACACTTTCTCCATATTTTACTGTGTACTATCACAATAAGTGATATAACTTAAAGAGGCTGTGGCTATTATTTGCCCAAAGATGGCAAAGTAAAGAATAGGCCTTTTTAATCTCTAGAATGGCAATGCAATATTCGTGTGTCTTCTTGATCCCATATCCAGCCACATGAATTTTGGGGGTGCAGTGGTGTAGCATGCAAGCATATTATTCCTAATTTATTCCTAAATGCTGAGGAGTCTGTTTTGGTCTTTGTATGCAGACTTGAGTGATAATGTGTCAGAGAGGTATGTTATGTTTAAAAGCAAGTTAGGGTTTTTGACTCTTATTCATCTTTTCTTTCATTTGTTTGCTTTTATTGTTTTGGCCAGTTAATGGAACCCCAAGCAGTCAATTATCTACCCCAAAATCTACAAAATCCTCCAGTTCTTCACCAACAAGCCCAGGCAGCTTTCGTGGACTCAAGGTAAGTGCAAGAACCATAAAAAGTCCTATATTCCGTTATTCATTGAATGATTTATTACAGTAATGCTGAAGAAGAAAAAAAATAGAGTTATAATTCTATAGGGTAGCCTTGCTAGCATGATTTTTGACTTGAAGTGGAGAAGAGATCTGAAGTAAGATTTTTGCATTTTGTCTTTGGTTGTCAGGATGGAACTCTCGGCTTAGGAAAGGTAGAGGGTGATGGTGGCTTGAATATGCCAATTTGCCCTCCAATTTTTCCATTGTTTCATGGACTGCAGAACCCCCCAAGTAATTCATATTCCCTCAGCCTATATAAATGTCATATCCTCTTTTGGATACCGTATAGTCTTATAGCATTCCCCAGAATTTCATCCGAAACCCTCTTCTTTATCCATGGCACACAGTTTCACCCCTTAATGCAGTCTCCTGCCTGAAAGCGTGTGAGGGGTTCCTTTGGGAGCAGCCTGATGTCTGGCAGATTTTTCTCTGTGTTACACCAAGAGAATTCTATCCCTCTCCCACTTAAAAATCGGTAGCCTTTACAGTTCTTGGAAGCTGCTCTGTGCCTTTCACTCAGTAAAATAAAAGGAACCGTCTGGAGCACAGTTGAGCATCTTAGTGCTGATTTGTGCAGCTGTCCTTTCAAGGAGAGTTTTCTTCTGAAATCATCAATCGCAGCCTTTCTGGAAGTGCACTGGATGGTTCGCACTGATTATTCTGATCAAGTAATAGCTCCCATTGGTGAACACAACAGTTGTGAAGAGGCTGCATAATTCTGTGGAAAACTGTTTTCTCAATTAAGAGTCTGGCTAAAGGACGTGATTTGAATAGTATTTAGATTTGAGGTTTGACATGCTAATTGTTACTGAGTCTTTGTCTGTTTTGCAAGGAGTACACCACTGATTTCTGCCAGGCTCCTGTGATAATTCTGAGAGAAGATTTTGATTTATTTGTTTAATTCTAATGGGGTTTTTTAGTTCTTTGGTTCATTGGGGCAATTTAGTGTTGATCTCTGCCTTTATGTTGTTGAGCTGTACTATCCCACAGCTTCTCTTTGTCCAAAGCAACATAGATTGGCCTTTCCCCTATAAAGCATTTTCAAGAGCAGTAGTAGTTCTGACATTGAAAATTAGAACTGTGTGTCTTAAAATTTGTCTGGACAGCTCTGCTGTAGAATTTACAGTAGAGGACACCAAAACCATTGGACTTGAGGCTCTCAGCTGGTCTGCACTATATTTAACAAATGCCCTTCTGTCTTTGTTTAATGAAATTACAAGTTTAGAAACTAGATAATTTGGTTTGCTTTTTCCCATGCTGTCCTGTCTGCTTTTAGCCGATTAAAGCTCCATTAAGATAGAGATAATTCTGATAGTAACAAGCAATTTTCAGTAAAGTGGACATGTCCTCTTTCCCCTTCACCGTCAATTTCTCTGAAGTAGGCTGTTGTACTTTTTCATTTTGGAATTTAATTGATGCTGGATACTAATGTGTTTTTGTGTCAAATAATTCATCTCTATACGACCAAAGAAAAAAGCAAAACCAAATTAATCATCTCAGACCTGACGTGTTACTGAAGTAGTGAGTACCTCTTATTTTATCCCATGAGGATGCATCTGTTCAGTAGGAGGATCCCAGCTGTGCTCCTGAAACTAAAGATAGGGAAAGTTATCTGATGAATCTCAGGATAAATTCCAAAAGGATCAAGCGCACTGTGCAATGACCTTTGTTTCTTGATTATATTCTAGTAGTAATGACTGTTTTGGTGAAGTATCAATATAAAAGCAGTAACAGGGAGGCATGGTTTTATGCAAAGCCAGATTCTTTTAAGAAACCCATTATTATTTTTGTAGGATGATCTTGGCCAGTCTGATGAGGTCCTGAAAACAGGGACCAATTTCATTATTTTGAGATTACTGCTTTTTCTTATTATTAAATAATTCCTTGTTGCTAAGACTGCATCGCTGCACAGACAAGTAGTCTGACTTCCTGCACTTGTGTAAAGAGAGTGCCATGACTACAGCTGAATGAAAATGTAGATATAAATACCATGGCAGACAGTGAAAGAATAAAGTATATTCCTGAGGTTTTGGCTTTGGAAATGCAATATTTTGGCTGCTTTTCTGTGTAGAAGTCATATATGTTTGTTTTTGTACAGCATGAAAGAACAACACTTCTATCATTTTGTAGGAGCTTGGGGCAGCAGGAAAAGGGAACAAATCAGGGCTGATGCTTCTGTTTCCTGTAAAGAGCAGACCACTGGAGCACCTGCACGTGAACCATACTTTAAAAACTCTATTGTCTGGAAAGTCAGAGCAAAATAAAGTATTTGACTATAGGTTAGATACTGACTAAGGTCTTTGAAGTTTGACTTATCGACGTAGAGCTTAAGTGATAATGCTAGTAATGAAGGCAGTAAACTTGCAAAAGATTGCAATAGCAATTTTTCAATGTCTCAGACATTGAGCCTTGTGTGATGTTCTCTGAGTGCTGCTTTTCCTTTAAAGTGAAGTCTCTCTGGTCCCCAAGGATTCCTCCTGCTTCACAACACTTTATAAGCAGAAGTGGTACGCTCAGGCACAGAAAACTCCTTGCAGGAAACATTCCTCGTGAACAGCTTATCTTTGAAGAGAAGGGCTTTACTTCTGTTCTTTTTAGCTCTTCCAACCAAAGTGCCCTTGTGCTATTGGTTGCTCAGTACATACAGTAAGCCAGTTTGCTGTCCAACAGCCCAATCTTGCAGAAGTGTTTCAAAAAAATGGTACTGGAGGCCAAGATTATATTGAAGTAAGGAATTTATGCTATGGCTTAAGAACAGTAAAAAAATAGATACCCAGATATGCAGTGCTGTTAGGGGTACTTTGATTCTTCACTCTTCTTCTGTTGCTATGAACACTTTATACCAAAAAAAATCATCCAGTGACTACATTAAATATGAGATTTTGGAAAGTGGTGTCGTAACTTCCTTATGCTTACTTGGATGTGTTATCTCTTGAAGTTAAGTACCACAAAGTCTCGTCATCTTTTTAGAAGAAAATAATATTGTACAAATAAAGAAGCTTTACAGTTGAGGCCTTTTGAGAACCCCAGTTATGCTAAATAGCATTGTGTTTGAATTTGTCTCAGTATTACTTTTTCAATTGACCAAACGAGCAAAGTGAAAGGGCATTAAAGCCTGATCCAACAAATAACTTAAGTACTTGCTTAATTTTAAGCTATTGAGTAGTCCCTTTTACTTCAATGAGGATGTTAATGTACTTAAAGTTAAACATGTGCTTAAATGATTTGCAGGACTAGTCCCTGTCTTCATCAAGGTTTTAATCTCTTCAGTTTTGTACACATGTGCTTCTATTAGCAGTTACATGTTAAGAATATTTACATGCAATTATCCAACCTAGTGACACAGGTGCAATAGCTGTTCTTAGAGGAATTCTTTAGCTGCTGCCTTTGGTGAATTTACAATTCAACATCTTTATTGCGCTTAGTGTCAAGTCCATTCACCATTGTCATCAGTTCGCTAAATGCTTCACATAATGTGATGCAATTCAAAATCTCTTTAGAAAAAAAAGATAAATCTTTACGCGGTTCTTCAGTGTTTCTAGAGCAGTGCAACAACCATGACATTATAACTATATATGTATATATATATGCCATACCATGTACGCTCAAATTAATGGTAGCAAAATTACTACATTCTAATTAACTATTGTGTTGTTACATGTAGCTTCTCAGTATAGTTGGATTACTAGCAGTGTTTTAGGTATTGCTTAAAAAATATGAAATTTCTATCTTACAGATTATGTTACTATTAAGCGTTATAATAGTAAATACTAACAACATCTCATTGGAAATACTGATTATATAAATAACACTTTATTTATATTTGGAATCTCTTTTAGTCCTTTCTTACTCTGCAGACTTTCAGGATGAATTACAGTGATGCTATAAAAGTGTCCCTAGATTTCAGAGAATACTTCTGCAAACAGTTAATTCACAATTTCACTAAAATATTCATAGTCTACAATTAGATTTGTCACCAGTTTCAATGTTTTCATAAAGATAGAGAAAGCTTCGTTGAGAATTATCAAGGAGTTTTCCTGAAGGCTTGAGTGTCAAGCTGCTGCTTTCTCATTCCCAAATCACTGACTGATGCCAGATTTTAAGGGAATCTTGGGCCAGTCCCTCCCTGCTACTTATACATCACCTTACATTTGCATGTCCATTTCAATTCATTGGTTTTTGTTTGATTTTTTTTTTCTTTTTGTGCTTTCGATTTCTTATCATTAACTTAGAAGTAGAAAACCTGACACGTGATATCTGGCAGGATGCAGCTGTCTGGCACGTTATACATTGGATACTTCAGATGGTAAAAAAAAAAATCCTACAGTACAAAGTATAAAATGAGGGGTTGGATATTAGTGGAGGTGAAAGGAAGAATGCTAAATACCTGTTCCTTAGTTATAATGTTGAGGTGTAATAAGCACATTGGGTACTAAAGTAGGTGTGTGAAACTTGCGGATATGACAGATCTAATGTGAGTGTTTCTCACAAAACCTGTTGTGTTCAAGACATGTTGATAAACCTGGTGTCTTAAATCACAGTTAGTCTGTATAAAAGAATATAAAATGTAGAGAAATGTGTTTAGATGTTTTCGTGAACCTGGAAAAATTGTTATTCCACAGAAAATAGTTCAGCATGTGAAGTAAACAAAACAGTTGGGCAGGTTTTTTTCAGCTCAGTACCTTTTGTAACTTTTTACAGCATCTTTAATTAAACTGTAAAGTGATATGCAACTAGTTTTGAGAACTGTCTGTTCTCAGTATCTCTAATGACTATGTTGTATTGTGTATTTGGCTCTGGATGTGCTGTTGAAATACAGATTATCCGTGGGGAGACAACTTGAGGGAAATAAAAGCAGTAATTGTTGTATTCTGTGTTGTACAATGTTTAAATGCAACAGGAGTGACTGTTGGCCTAAGGTGTCCTTGGCCAGTAGTGTCCACACTCTGTTGTATTCAAAGCCATTGCTGCTCTAAATTATTCTGTGAGCTTTTAAAAACAAAGAATCAAATTCTTCCTTAGGTCTGAGTTTTCTACTACTTGCATGTGTATGTGAGAGGGTGGTTTTAAGACCTGTGCACTCTGAATTTGTCATGTGTAAGGGGGGACCAGTATTAGAAGAGAGCCATAGTGCTGTGTGGACTAGAATACAGGAGGAGGAATTGTTGCAAAACCTAATCTGTGGCGTGATTGTAGATGCCATCCATATTCGCTAGTGTAGTATTAAAGCAACAAGCATCCTTTTCTTCTTGTTACTTCAGGAATGGCTAGTGAAGCTTTCAGTTCTACGTGCACATCCAGAATTTTTACTTCATCTTCAAAATACCTGCAGCTATTGGGATACCAACAGTACAAGATACTGTAAATATTACATGTCACTGGGTAGTTAAATGATTAGAAAATTAATTTAACTATTAAAATCACTTTATTCTCTGTCACTTAGTGTTGATTCCTCCCTCCTTCCCACCATGTCTGGCTAGTCAAGCACCTTGCAGACATCTTAAGAGTTCATTTCTACTGTACTCTGACACAGTATGGAAGGACGAGACTGATTTTGCTGCTGAGGAACTGAGACACAGACCTACAGCACCCAAATTACAGGCAATCTCTGTTGCAGAGTGAGTTCAGCCTCACGTCTAGAGCCATGGGGCAAATTAGTGGCAGAGCTAAGGTTAAACCTGTCGTTCCAGATTCTGATCTAGCACCTCAACCACAACAGCAGTGGTAGATTTTTTTTTTTTTTTACTTTTCGTATTCCTTTTAGCTTTATGTCCTGTTGCTCTTTGCTTCCTTCTTGTAAATACTGTGGTAAGAAGGAATGTGCCCAGTCATCCTCTGACCTGATTACAAGGATGAAGGAAATTGTAAATGTGGGCTAGATATTCCCATGTATTGTCACTCATTGAAAACCCAAAATAGATTACTAATATTTTTGACTGATGACTAATACTTTGCAGTGATCTGTTCTGTTATCTCCACTTCATGCTTTAAGAAAATGTGACTGACTGGTTAAGAGACTGACTCGTGATTTTGCACAAATGTCATTTAACCCAAATGTCCTTGTTCCTGATCCTTGTTAAATAAATAGATAACTCTGAAAGACAGCACCATTAACCTAGTCTGGTTTCAAGTTATTAGCAAGGAGCAGAGTAGTAGCTGCCTGGTTGCTGTTTGATGCTACTTCTATGCCAAATGCTAGTAAACATCATTGGTTTAGATGCTCTGCAAAATTAAGTTGTACAGCTTCTAGTTACTGTACCTTTAGCTGATTTGGCAGCTCAGCTGCCACTAGAAACTTAAGCATTCATTAGCATTTCATGAGCCTTTAGACAATATCCTATCTGTCAGTTCAGTTCTTTCATTGACAATAGCGTTAATGATTTAAAATATTCAGCAGTGTAACCAGACAATGTCAGCTAAAACGGTAAATGCTGCATTTGCATTCCTGGTGTCATGCAAAGCCATTTCAACAGACACTGAGCTTAAGGCAGAGAAGCATTTTAATCCTTTGTGTGGTGAGTGGTGAGAACTACTATAATAGCCCATGAAGAAAACAAGATATGGAACTTCACAGAACAGCAAGAAATGTTATGTAGAGGAGGGGGAATGATCTAAAATGTATTTTCATTTCATAGACCATCCCTATACTGAACTGTAATGGGAGAACTTATAAAACAGTGGTGCATAGAACACATACAGGACATTTTACTATTTATGGCATTCGTTCCTATGCCTCTACCCCTTTTTAAAATAAAAACTGATTGTTGTGTATGTCCCTGGGCTATGACTCTAAGCAGAATTCTGAAGATTCAGACCGAGTGCAAATTAAGTTGTTAGTGCAGCAAAAGTAGTTTTGCTCATCCTTCAAAATCATTTAGATATTTGGTTTTTACACAGTGCCACAGTTACTAAAACTGAATCTATGTCTGAATGCTTATCTAGACATCTAACTTGAAATGCTTGTAGGTGTCATAAATCTTCACAGCCTTAATAACCTAAAATATAGACTGCCAGATTACCAAGGAGATCTGACTATTGTAGATGTACCCAGCCACTTATGCCCAAATTCTCTTCTTTAAATGAAAACTAGTAGGGCCATGCAAGCATTTCTACATTACCTCCCTAGCATGCTCCAGTGCTAATCTGAAGAGAGTGTATATTGGCAGAGTTCAGTTAAGGAAACCTCAGACAGTGCCAGCTATGAAAAGATGTATTAAACTACAGCATGAGAGCACTGGCCACTGAACAGTTGTCTGGAGACGGCTGTCTCTGGCTTACGTGAAAATGTATGCAGAGTCTATTGGAACGACCTTGTGTAGCATGAGAAGGGAATGTTGCCTCTGCACTCACTGGCTCTGTACTGTTTAGATGGAACTTGGTGCATCTGGAGGGAATTTTCTTTGCTATTTACTGAAATCTGTTCAACTAGTTATCTAAATAGGAATATCAGGGCTGAATCTTAAATTGGTGTAAGTGACAATGATGTATTATAATGATGATGAACTGTGAGAAAGCAAGAATAAAAATAAGACAAGAGTAGAAAAGTAAACTGACTCTGTATAGGTGTTAGGTGGTTTTAGTTTGTTTGTTTTAACTGCTGGTTTTTTTTGGTCTGGCTCCTTCTTGTGATTACTTTCCCATCAGAAATAATAAGTTCTTATGTACTTCCACAGATTCCTCCACATGGTGGATCTTCTTCCAATGTGAATGGTGTACCTGAATCACTCCATTGCCAGAGTCCCGAAGGTAGGACACCGATATAACTGCTAACAATCCTTCCAAAAATTTTCTTGTCGGTCACAAGTTGGTGTAGCACTTTTAGATGGTTTCTGATTGACTCCAGATCATTTTTTGTTCTGACATGTTTGATACCTTGTCGACAACCTTATCTTGGAAAAATTGTTACCGCATTTTTTATATGCAGGTGCTAAAGCTAGGAAAAACATTTTGTTCTTTTTTTGTCAAATGGAAGCGTATTAGTGGACCCTGAGTGATTTTGAACATAACCTGCAGAGTATCACCAGAAATGTGTTTGTGGCTGGACTGAAAGTGGAGGCCTCCTCAAAAAACAGCACATTGTGCTTCAGGTAGAACCACTAGCCCGTCAACTGACCTTAGTAAACTTAACCTTTCATTCCTTATCTCTTTAAAGCAACGTTATCTTTTTATTATTATTTTTAAATTTCATTCTAGAGTAATTTTTTAAATTTAAAAATACTGAAATAAACAACTATCAAACTTATTTGCATTTTGGATGTTTCAGCAGCAGGTAAGGGAACTTGAAGAAATTCGGCAGGTAGAACTTTTGGTTCTTTTACATGCATTGTAGATGAATCTTATTTGCATTTTTGCTTTGAATATGCAAAAAAATACTTCAAAAAAAGCATTTTCAGTTCAGAAAATGTTTAGACTTAGGACTTCTAACTGCATACATTACTTTCAGAATATGTCCACACAAAAACATGGTAATGTTTGATTTGTGTGTTAAAAGGTCAAACAACTCTGATTAGTCTTATCTTGTTCCTTCTTATGTTTGAGATAAAAACAAGGGAACAAGCTGTGAAGAAAACAGCTTACTTTGAAGTTTTGTTTTGCATTTGTGACTGTTCAGGATCTGTGGAACCCATCGGGGATATATTACATCCTGCTGACACTTCAGCTTGCGTTATTGACCTTGCTTTTTTGCAGGTGTGAATGGAAACAAGTGCTCAGGGTCATCTACCATTCTTGAGAAGTATAAAGTGGGGAAGGTGATCGGTGATGGCAATTTTGCTGTTGTAAAGGAGTGCGTAGAACGGTGAGCAAGGAAACTGTTCAGTACTGCTGTTTATTTTGCTGGATAAAGCCCTGTGCATTAGCGTAATTTCATAGAAAATATGATGAGATGAATGCAAAGACGTGCCTACACTTCAGGAGAACTAGGCATAGCAAAACACGCAGAACTTCCTCTGTATTATTCCAGCAAAGGGACATGAGAGCAGTAGAGGTACATGGCCCTTTATCCCAAAAACTAAAGGGCGTATCACCTTCTAATGGAGGCTCTTAAGGAAACCTTACAGACCTTCAAGAAATCCCCTCACACAACAGACTGTTGTGGATGGCAGGAAATTGTATGTGACATCTAAACAGGCTTTGAGAGACACCCCCCCACTTCTGCCTCAGCAGTTCTGCTGCTATAGTATCCCTACTGCCTGCTGCTTAAATGATTTTTCACAGCTTTCTGTATACTGCGGGCAAAGTGTTCTTAAAGGCATGCAGTTGGTGGCTGTGAGCCTATGCTACTGGCTCCCTTGTGCTTGCTTCTGCAAGGTAGTGCAGTGAGCAGCCAGACACTTCTCAAACCAGCCCTTCAATATTCCAGACTCTGAAATATTCTTGGGCCTGATTTCCCATGGGGTAGACAGGATACCTTTACAGACCTGTGCTGTGTTACTGCTCTTCCTCTGCAAGCTTTGTGTCACACTTTGTTGCTAGTGCAAACATAACAGATGACTTGACTGTCACTTTCTCAGTGTATTTTTTAGAACCACCTTCTGCTGTCTTCATCAATCTGAGAGTTATGTCAGCTTCTTAAATATTATGAGGAATCTCCAACTTGTATGCAAATACTGGACAAATTCAGCAAATGTCTGTAAAAACCATAAAAGTTACAGAAACAGTTTCTGTTATTGGATCCTCATCTGCGGGTTTTATTTAAATTAAAAGATAATTATGAATGGAAACATCTTGTTCCAGTCTTAGCAGATCACAGATGCATAGATAGATGCTTTTGCTGAGTCATCCAAATGGGCCAAAAAGGGTTGGGTACTGCGGCTGAACCTGGGGCTTCCTCTACTGAAACATAGGGGAATGGATCTTACAATCCATAACTTTCTGCAGCCATTATGGCTTTTTCGAGAGAGACTTCTTTTCTTCATAATGTATCTGGATTATTTCTTTCCATTACTGAGAATAATATTGGCAGGTGCTATGTAGCGCAATGTCTAATATGCCCTTCTGGTTTATACCAGCAACTGACAATTGTTATTTTTAATACTTTTTTGAGAAAGTGATGTACAAGCATGCAAGGTTTATAGAGTAATGAATAAAGACTGGGATGGCAGCTCCTAGAGGTACTAGCAGGGTACAGTGCTGATAAAGAAAAAAAATGGCTAAACGTGATCTGAATATGCTATAGTTACTACTCAAAAAAAGTTCCCGTTGCATGTGCAGGTTTAAGATAATGCTTCTCATCAGTGTTAACATCTAGGCTCCAAGGTCTTAAATTTTTTTTTTTTTCTTTTTAATAGTTTCTACTAACAAACTCTGGCTCCTGACAAGCATTACCACATCAGTATGTAATCATGTCCCTACTGCTTTAAACACTGCAGGTCTGCCACAAGAACTGTGAGAAGGCAATACAGCCAGCAGAGTTGCAGCTGGATTTCTGTTCATTTCATTTTGCCAGAAGCTATGCATAGGAGGCTTGAGTGAAAATAGAATAGAAGAGAATATTTCAGTGGGAAGGGACCTATGATGATCATCTTGTCCAACTGCCTGACCAATTCAGGGCTGACCAAAAGTTAAAGCATCTTATTAAGGGCATTGTCCAAATGCCTCTTAAACACTGACAGGCTTGGGCATTGATCACCACTCTAGGAAGCCTGTTCCAGTGTCTGACCACCCCTCAGTAAAGAAATGCTTCCTAATGTCCGGTCTAAAACTTCCCCTGGTACAGCTTCAAACCATTCCCATGTGTCCCATCACTGGATACCAGGGAGAAGAGATCATCACCTCCCTCTCTGCTTCCCCTCCTCAGGAAGCTGTAGAAAGCAATGAGGTCGCTCCTCAGCCTCCTTTTCTCCAAACTAGACAAGGCCAAAATCCTCAGCCACTCCTCACAGGACATTCCTTCCAGCCCTTTCACCAGCTTTGTTGCCCTCCTCTGAACACATTCAAGGACCTTAACATCCTTCTTAAATTGTGGGGCCCAGAACTGCACACAGTGCTCAAGGTGAGGCTGCATCAATGCTGAACACAGCGGGACAGTCACCTCTTTTGACCATCTGGTCATGCTGTGTTTGGTGCGCCCCAGGATGGGGTTTGCCCTCTTGGCTGCTGGGGCACAGTGCTGGCTCATATTGAGCCTGATGTCGACCAGCAACCCCAGATCCGTTTCTGCAGGGCAACTCTCCAGCCACTCCTCTCCCAGTTTATACTTGTGCCCAGCGATACTGCGTCCTAGGTGCAGGATCTGGCATTTAGATTTGTTAAATTTCATCCCATTAATCGTAGCCCAGTGCTCCAATCTATCTAGATCCCTCTGCAAGGCCTCTTGTCCCTCAAGAGAGTCAACAGCACCTCCCAGTTTGGCATCATCAGCAAACTTACTAATGGTGCATTCAACTCCTGCATCCAGATCATTGACAAAAATATTGAACAGAATTGGCCCTAGGACTGAGCCCTGAGGAACGCCGCCAGTGACCAGTCGCCAGCCGGATGTAGCCCCATTCACTACAACACTTTGAGCCCTGCCCTTCAGCCAGTTCTTCACCCAGTGCGCCGTGGAGCCACTCATCCCACAGTTGGACAACTTGTCCAGAGGGAGGCTGTGAAGGACAGTATCAAAAGCCGTAACTAAAATCCAGACAAACTACATCCATCACCTTCCCTTCATCCACTAGGCAGGTGACCTTATCATAGAAGGATATCAAATTAATTAAACAAGACTTTCCCTTTGTGAACCCATGTTGACTATGCCTGATGATTTAATTATTCTTTAAATGCCTTTCAGTTGTACTCAGTATAATCTCTATAATTTTTTCAGGAACTGAGGTTAGACTAACACGTCTGTAGTTCCCTAGGTCTTCCCTCACATCCTTTTTGTAAACTGGAATAACATTGGCTAGCTTCCAGCCAGCAGGGTCCTCTTCAGACTCCCAAGACCTTTGGTAGATGATCAAGAGGGGTCCTGCCATAACATTCAATAGCTCCTTCAGTACTCTGGAGTGAATCTCATCAGACCCCATGGACTTGTGAACATTCAGCTGATACAGCTGGTCCCTTACAATTTCAGTGTCCACAAATGGAAAGTCACTGTTCCCACACTTGTAGTCCTACAACTCAGGGGACCAGGCAACACAAGGTCTATCAGTATTATTAAAGACCGAGGCAAAAAACATATTGCATGTCTCTACTTTTTCTTTATCCCTAGTAGTCAGATGGTCATCTTCAACAAGTAATGATCCAATGTTTTCTTTAGACCTCCTTTTGCTGTTAACATACTTCAAAAAAGCCCCTTTTTATCTGAAACATGGGCCAGTTTCAACTCTGATTGAGCTTTGTCCTTTCGCGTCTTCTCCCTGCATATAGGAACAATGGCTCTGTAATCTTCTTGTGAAGCCTGACCTTGCTTACAGAGGTCGTAGTAGTTTTTTTTTCTCTCTTGAGCTCCATGAGGAGATCCCTGTTCAGCCAACCTGGTCTTTCTGACTTACAACACAGTGGGACTGCCTGCTGCTGTGCTTCTAAAATGTGGTTCTTAAAGACTGACCAGCAATTGTGGAATCCTAAGCTCTCAAAAGCAGATTCCCAGGGTGCTCTGCTAAATACCTCCCCAAACAGCTTAAAGTTTGCTTTCTTGAAATCCAACATAGCAGCTCTACTGTCCTTTTTTCTCATTACACCAAAAGTTCTAAACTCAACCATTTCATGATCACTGTGGCCAAGACAGATACCTACCATCACATTCCCCACAACTCCTTCTGTATTTAAATAGCAAGTGTAGGAGGACATCTTTCCTAGTTGCCTCACTGAGTACCTGTGACAAGAAGTTATCTTCTACAAACTTCAAGAATTTCCAAAGACCTGCTTGTCACAGAAGTATGATATTCCCAGTTGATGTCTGGGAAGTTGAAATCTCCCATAACAACAAGGGCTACTTATCCAGAAATTTCTCTTAATGGCCTATAGAGTAACTCATCAGTGCTTACATCCTGCCTGGGTGATCATTAGTAGACAACTAGTACAACATCTCCTTTGTTTTTCATCCCCTCCCCCAGAGGCTCTCAACTACATCATCACTAACTGTAAGGGCTGTACAATCAAACCTCTCCCTTACTCATAGAGCGACACCTCCACCTTGCCTGCCTTGCCTATCCCTCCTGAACAGCCTGTAGTCCATCCCAGCACTCCAATCACGGGACTCATTCCACCAAGTTTCACTAATACTGATGATATCACTGTTCTGAGAGCTGACCAATGCTTCCAGTTTATCCTGTTTATTTCTCATACTGCGTGCGTTGGTGTACAAGCATTTCAGATAGGCTGCTCCCAGGAGCAGTGCAAATGTTGCATTGCCACCCTCAGGCAATGCCATGCCAACCCTTGGCTTGCTTACTGCAATCCTGTTGGTATCCCCTTCCCCCATCGATTCTAGTTTAAAGCTTTCTTCATCAGTCCCTCCAGCTTACACCCAAAGATGCATTTTCCCCATCAGGACAGGTGGATCCTATCAGGCCCCAGCACACCTTGTCTCTCAAAGGCTCTTCCATGGTTTAAAACTCCCAAGTTTTGGCACAGGCACCAAATGAATGATGCTTCACAGTGTTTTCCCATGCACCCTGAAACTGGCCGCTCATCCTTTGTTATCTATAGAATGAACAACATTCATGAAAGATAACAGGTTAAAAGCATAAGATAACATAATTTATTATTTTCAGGAACGTCGACTGTGGATTTTGGCAAGTGCTTAAGTTCCACTGAAAATGGGACAAGGGCTGCTAAGTCACTTGGGTTTCAAAACATCATCTGTGCTTTTTGGAATGAGGCAACTGGACTAGAAAAACAACCTTCCAATTACTATTTTTTTTAAAGAAAGACAAAATTAAACCTAAAAATCTAGTTTTGTAGGTTATCCGATCTTTATATTCAGTGAAACATTATTAAATGAATTTTATATAAAATAAGTATACAACAGTAGTTGCTAATAATAACAATGAGAGAGGAAATGCGAACTATAAATGCTTGTCTTTTAATTCCTATTAATTATTATATGTCATTTCTAATAGTGTTGTGCTTAGAAGCCTTAGTTGTGGAGCCAGGATCCTATTATACCAGCTGTTCTACAAAAAGAATAAGATGGTCTCTTTTGTAACGGGTGCCTATATGTGTGTATGTAAAGACATGAGTCAACAGATGGACGCTGACAGTTAGACGGAAGAATACCAGAAACCTGTCAGACAATATTGGTGTATGATAGGCAGTGGTATTAGCACACAAATTATGTGGATGGTATCCAGGTTTTTTTCTTAGGTGCTATAGTAAAGGACATTTGCAAGAGGGATTTGAAGTTGGTTGATGAATTGGCTTTGTGATTGTTAACTCCGCTTTCTACACAGCGTAAGTGCCAAAGGTTTATGAAGTGGGTTTTGCTGATCAGGTGGTTGCAGGCTTCCAGATAATGCACTTAATTTAGTATAATGCATAAATTGTGAATCTGAATTACACACTGTATTCATAGTAGATTTTACATTAGGTCTATAATATAAGAGGATGCCATTTCACAGATACCATTTAGATAACACTTCTATCTAAGGACCAGATCAGGTTGTAACTATGACAACCTTGCAGATACAGCTGCACTTTCAGAGCAGAGATCCTCTACTGCATTTTTTCAATAATGGATAAACTGAATGTGAGACATTAATCCAGTTCCTTTTTTTGTAAGGTACTAATTTTGACTAGGTGTATCTAATGTCAAAAGTATAGTGAAAATTAATCTGGAAGTTTAAAAATGTGCCTGACTCTTGCTTTTGTGACTGCCTCCAGGGTTTTTTACCATACACATCAGTGGTGGTCTGACGCGCACTGGAGTCTGTGGGTAACGACACAACACAAAATAGTAGCAACAGGGTCTTATGGCATTTTCTTGTGATTTTTAATTCATCATTAATATAAGTAATAATGTCGTCTTTGTTTTTTGAAAAAAAAAAAAAGATAATTCATTTGCATTGCTTTTTTCTCTGATTTTCTCCCCTTCTGGAGAAATGGAGAAGATTTTTATCGCTTAAAGGGACGAAAAGCAAACAAGAGCTCCTTTCTGTGAGAGTATTTACTGAAAACAGTAATCCTTTTCACTTTGTATATAACCACCCTCTTAAATGTCATGGGACTTTAGATGACTGAATTCCGTAGAATATTTTTATAAATAAAGAAGTAAATACAAAAGCTCAAAATTAGCGCCTAATAAATTCTGCAGGATTTTAGACTAGTCTGTAATGAACTATGGGGCTTTAGCTCTGCTATTCTAATTCTATTGAATTTTTCCACCAGGGTATCAATCTTTCTTCTGCTCACTTACACACAAACGTGTATGATTTTATCTTTAAAGCCTACCAGTTGAACAAAGCGAAGTGGAAGGCTTAAGACAAATTTTGCATGTTGCATTAAAGAAGTGACAGAGAGCTGTGCCAGGTCACGGGAGAATGAATTGCAGCTGGAGCCAGGGATTAATACACAAAGTGAGCTAGGTCGTGGTAGTCAGGGAAACAGCAGGCACAAATGCTGCTGAGAAAACAAAAAACAAGATCAAGTCCGTTCTGTTAATTTTCTGTCAGCAACCTCCATGGGTCAAGGCATTCTGTTACGATGATGTATATTCTTACAGATAATGCCACAATTTGTTGACCAGTTTGTAATTAACGGTTCTCATATTTTTTTTGGTAGATCCACAGGAAAGGAGTTTGCACTGAAGATCATAGACAAGGCTAAATGCTGTGGAAAGGTAGTGTACAACAGTTTGCATGTATAAGAAAAATAGCAGAAACAGCACTAGCAGCTGCTCATTAGTCATAAACGGTGGGTGTGTTTGGGTTTTCTGACTATTTTCAGAATAACTGTTTAACAGGATATTAATGCATCCAAGAAGCAAATAATAAAAGTGGTGAGTGTTAGTCTACTAGATAATAGAGTGAAAAACAAACAAATTGTCATCTGTTTTATTGGACTAACAAAGAAAATGCTAATATGTGGCCAAAATGAAATCAGAAGAGAAATGGCCAAAATATATTAGAAAGATTTTGATCTGTAAAATATGAGAGAGGAAATTTGCAGCTATGTGTGTATTTATGTAATTCTCATCCTTCTCTGTCTTGTACATGCTCCTTTTATATGCAGAACAAGGAAAGAAATTTTTGCAACCACTTCTTTTTTATGTAGTTTCAGTATCCTGTGTAACAAAGATCTCTTAACAAAACAGTTCCTTCAACTTTCTTTTTAATTCAAGATCAAAAAAAAAAAGTCCAATATTGTCTCTCCAGCAGAACATCATTTACATAATCAAAGTAAATATCTGAGGGCGTCACAGACCTCTCTTCACCTTCCTCCCAAGTACAGACTTTTTTTAAAAAGGAAGAAAAAGGCCCCCAACTGGCAGCCAAGAATGTAGACTAAGTGTTGGAATAGATAACAACAGGTAAAATACTTCCAGTTTGACTGCTTTGCAATGCCTTAAAAATAAAGTGCTCTTGATGAACTTACAAATAAAATGTATTGTAGTTTAGCATTAGCTAAAAGAGCACTGAGGGCACAGTATCAATTAGCATTAAATTCTGGATTAAAGTCTCTTTGAGAGCAGGAGATACACCGTTCTTTCAAGGGTGGCTGAAAAGACTGACTTTTTTGATGCAAACACCTTATTTTTTATGTAAGTGATCGCACTGAAATGATTCTGGAGGTAACTTTGCAACCAAGTCAGGGTTTTAATTCAGAGGTAGCCTAGCCTTTTTGCCAGTTACATAGAGTAACTGCTCTGACGTGTAATTCGGAGCTCCAAATCTCCGTGTGACCTTGGCGGAAGACATAGCAGGTCTGTATGACATTCTTTGTATGGTAACGAGCTGTGTATTACTGTACACTAATGCATTACTTGTTGTGATGACTCGGTTTAAGTAGAGGTCCTCAAACAGAAATGTTTTATTTATGCAGATTTAAAATTGTTTATTAGGTGCTAGGAGATGAGTGTTCCTGCCTCCGCATCACTTTATCTCATATTCTCTAGGTTTATTTAAAGGAAAATTTAGAAAGGAATCTTAAAAATGTATCACCGCAAGAAAAAGTGCTGGAATTGCCTTTTTGAAATTAAAATGTTGCCCATTTATTTGGCTGTGGGAAGAGTGACCCAGTCTGTTTCACTGCAAAAGAAAACTTTTGGGTGATGCATACAGCTTGCAAACTCAGATGCTTTTTATTACTTGTCTGAGTCAGCTGCTTATGTATCATGTATTGGAATGGTCCGGAGATAGACAATCAATTTTATACAGCAGAGTTTAGATGTATTTCCTATTTATTGTTCTCACTGCTTTAAAACAAACAAATTAAAAAATCACCCCCATGGGTGCCTACTTGTTTGTTTTGAAAGGACCTGTGTCTGTATAGCTACATATAGATATATGTGTATGTACGAGCAGAGGAGTGTTGTTAGAGAGATGTTTGTACAGTGGCAGAACTAGGAAGAATTCTAGGAAGAATTCCAGCAAAGAAAAAAATTTTGCTACGGCTTAGTCCTTCCTCACTCCGTTTCACGTGCCAACAAAAGCCCTGCCTTAAAAACACCCATCTGGTCCAAATATGCATGACTTGTGTGTTGCTCACTGCTCTCTAGCAGTTTATCTTGGATGTCCTAGAACTTGAGTCCAATTGACTGATGTAATTTCCAGAAGCAGCTTAAATGTTAATTATACAATAATTTCTCTGTAAATAAAACATATTAATGTAGACTGAAATCTATATGGCACTAACCAGGAGAATGTTGTAACAAGTTTGAGAATTACTGGTTTTTTTACATGACAAAATACAGCAAAAACAGCAGGGTGGTTGAAAATAACTAACTACATACTAGTCAGCATTTTGAGGGCAGGTATTAAAACAGTAGCTCAACAACATTTTGGAGCCTTTTTTTAAACGTATTATTATTGTTTGTTTTAAATAAACATTATGTGTGCCTGAGCTTTATTTAAAGCAATAACATTTTAGTCAAGTGAAACAAAGAAAGCACAGGTAAAGCTATTGTGCCTTAGTTGTAATTAAAGGATGTAATGAATTTAATATGTTTTCTATTCGCTAGGTAGAAAAAGCTATAATAAGAATCTATTTTTTGTTTGGACTCTTAATGCCAGTTTTGAATTTGCAGGCTTCCATCATAAGGCTTAGTATGCTGTGGCTGTTCACTTTTGTCTGTTGATGAGATTCAGCATTGTGCTTAACAAAATTGCTTCATGTTTGTTTGGTTTTTTTTTCTCCAGAGCACTTTGCTTGGAGCAGACATATGTTTGTTCAGAATGACAAATGATGGTCTTTCAAACTGAATTTCAAAGGTGTGACTGTTTAACCCATATATGCTGCACCATACTCTCACAAAATGAGATGCACACATGGCATGTGGTTTCTGAGTTACATAGCCACATAAAGCTTTAGCAAAAACACAATGCATCCATAAATAACCCTGGAAATAAGAGGTGAAGTAACATAAGATCTTCAGTCACTGCTGATGCACAGTGGATCACATCTACTCCTAGTGCTCTGATCACAAATGCATGAAGTGCATGCTACTAACCAGTGCATTAAACATGAATAAGTTCCAAGTCCAGTGAGATGATTTGTTATCTGCCAAAGTGTAAGGAAACTAGTGTTTTGTGCAGGTGTTGTTACTTGTTTTGCAGTAAACCTAAACAGTATCTGTGTTCCAATATTTATAAAGGAAAATGCAAATCATTCTTCACAAGAAAGGGGCATGTAATTTTCTTCACTCTCTAGTGTTAACCAAGTGCTAAGATGTTTTAGAAAACAGAATGTTCTGAAACTAATTTGTTCCTGATACCCATTACTTCCTCAGAAGTGGAGGGAAGGGGAAATTAAACTCAAGCTGTGTGCTGTTAAGATGTTGGAGCCACAATGACTAAACTGAGCTATTACATACTTTGCAGATTGTAAATCTGAACATACATATAAAATGAACTGAGATCCACAGCTAAAGCAGTTAGAATGTTTTTCCTGTATATAATCCACAACTTTTTTTAAAAAATAAAGTCCTTGAAAATAAATCCCAGGTAATCTGTCCTTGAGTAACCTACACTAAATGAGAGGTGAAGGCTGGAGAGGATCAAGAACATGTTAACTATTGATGGGGGCTGGCAGGTTACAGTGATCCAGCTCAGGGGTGGGGTGGGGGTGTGGGTCTGAACTTAATTTCACTTCATAATACTCACATAAGAATATAATCTGCACTTCCTGAATTGCTGTCATGTTCTGGAGTCTTTTTTTCTGAGATATCCCATTAGTTATGTGTGTGAAGTGTGGTATTTTAAATTAAATGAAGACAGCTGGGCTAAAATACAAGTTAAAATCCAGCATCTGACAATAACACTCTACTATATAAATTAAACAGCAAAAAGGGTGCTCACTGATCAAGAGATCAGCAGCCAGCTGATCAAAGAAAAAGTGTATTGGCAATTTCATGTCTATTCAGATAAACTTCCCTCCTCTTCTCTGAACAGGAACACCTGATTGAAAATGAAGTGTCTATTCTGCGTCGAGTGAAGCATCCGAATATCATTATGCTCATAGAGGAAATGGACACCCCAACAGAACTCTATCTGGTGATGGAGCTGGTCAAGGTAAGACTAAGGAGACTTTTTTTTGTTGGCTTTTTTTTTTTTTTAATTCTCTCTGTTGGTGAGAAATCTGAGACGTATCTAGGAACATCAAGACCTTGGGAGACATAATCAGGTATAAGTTCAGTGGCAACCTGCACTTTTAATCATGCAAATGCTCTTGTCAATCAGTTATAGTAATGGAATTTATGTCTCTTCAGTTGTAATTAGACTGTTTACACAGATTTGAGGTAATTTTGCAAAGTATGTGCACAGTCTAGAGAGAAGTGGATAGTGGTTTTTATAGCATGTTTACAATATGCTGGAGTAATGGTGATATGCATTTACTGACAGAAAACCTGCATTTAATAATTTATTTAATAATTCGCTTTAAAAAACCAAACTCTCTTTAATGACTTTATCTTAGTAGACAATAGATACAGTGAATAGTTTAAACTCAAGTGATTATGGTCCAGCAAAATTAAAACTCAAAAAATCTCACCTCTTTTGCTTATATCAGACATTCACTCATCTTATTTCCAATTCACCAGAAAGTAGATGCTGCTTCATACATGTACAGAGAAAAGAAAAATCTTCATTCTGCTGTTATCTTGTGAACCAAATACACAAGTTGCATCAAGTTTTAGTCATGCAGTCTTTTGTCTGTGTTCTGTACATACACAGCAACACTGCACATCAGCTTGATCGGCATGTGAGATACAAATAATTTATATCATCACTTTTTATTTCTACCTATCTGAAACATTGTTACGTTCAAGAGTCCCCTCTAGAACGGTTGCCAGCCTGGGAAACCTCTAAAGAAAGTCTGTAGTTGTTGAATTCATTATTTCTGTACCCTACCCATTACTTTTCTGTTCTAGAAGTTATTTTTATCTAGTAGAGGCTTTTTTGGTTTTAAGACAGTATTTTTTTTATTATTATTATTTTGATACACCAC